CAGCTACTGTGTAAGACAGTATGGCAGTTCTTCAAAAAAAGTAAAAGTAGAATTACCATTATGATCCAGAGTCCACTTCTGGGCATATATCCAAATGAATTGAAAGCAGAGCCTCGAAGAGATGTTTATGCACCCATGTTCATAGCAGCATTATTCACAAGAGCCAAAGGTGGGAGCAACCCAAGTGTCCATCGATGAATGAGTGGATAAACACAAATGTGTTCCACCCATACAATGGAATATTATTCAGCTTTAAAGGAGGAAGGAAACTCTAACACAGGCTACAACATGGATGAACTTTGAGGACATTATACTAAGTGAAATAACCCAGCACAAAAAGACAAATACTGTATGATTCCACTTATATGAGGTACCTAGAATAATCAAATTCATAGAGACAGAAAGTAGACTGGTGATTGCCAGGAGTTGGGGGAAGGAGGGAAAAAGATTTAATAGGTAAAGAGTTTCAGTTTTGCAAGATGGAAAATTCTGGATATTGGTCGCACAACAATGGGAATATACTTAACATTACTGAACTGTACACTTAGAAATGCTTAGGATGAATTTTATGTTTATATAGCACAATTTTTTTAAATAAAAAAATAGAAATCTTGACTTTTTATGTAAAATCTCCTAATTTGCAAATGTTGGCAACCATCCTAAACCTATAGTTGCCTACCGAATGGCAATTTCCCTCTCTTTCTTAATAAATAGTCAAGTCCCAAATGTATCTCAGTGACCATCTCTCTACTTCCAGGACTCAGGTAAATCCCGACAGGTTCAAGTCAATCATAGTGGTCTTATTCCTCTTGCCAGTGATGCATTTAGAGGTGAGTGTGTGATCCCGTTCTGACCAATAAGGTGTGAGGAGAAGTCTTGTGGAGGGTTTTAGAAAAGGTTTCTTAGCTCTGAAAATGAGACATAGTAGAGGGAAATGGCCCTATTCCATTTATGGACATTGGCTGATATCAGGGTAAGATGCCTGGAGCTGTTGCAGTAATTTTCCAACCAAAAGGAAGCCATAGGCAGACCTGCAAGATGGAAAGAATCTGGGGTCTCAGTGTCTTTGGGTTGGACATAGCCTTCTTGCCTCTAGACTTTTGGTGATATGAGATAATCCATCTGCTTACTGTTTAATCATTTTGAGTTGCATTTTAAAGGTTGAGGCTTACCAAATGTCCATTGACTGATGAATGGATAAAGAAGTTGTGGGATATATTATGTATAAAATATATATTTTATATATATATATATAAATATATATAATGGAATATTACTCAGCCATAAAAAAGAACAAAAGCTTGCCATTTGCAATGACATGGATGGAGCTAGAGTGTATCATGCTAAGTGAAATAAATCAATCAGAAAAAGACAAATACCATATACCATATGATTTCCCTCATATGTGGAATTTAAGAAACAAAACAAGTGAACATGGGGGGACAAAAATGAGGCAAGCAGCCACAGAACAACTTTCTTAACCAGAAAGAACAAACTGAGGGTTGCTGGAGGAGAGGTGGAGGGGGATGAGGTAAATGGGTGATGGGCATTAAGAAGGGCACTTGTGATGAGCACTGGGTGTTATATGTAAGTGATGAATCACTAAATTCTACCCCTAAAAATAATATTACACTCTATGTTAACGGGAATTTAAATAAAAACTTGAAACAAAAACAAAAACAAAAAATAAAAGTTGAAGTTTAGAAGATCATAAATTATGTATTATACAGAGGGGGAAAAAAACATGTGGATCAAATAAAAGAAGTCTTCAACCAAATCTGACCCAGAGGCAGGCAATTTACTACCCTAGGTTTATCCATAACCAGTTACATTAACACTACTTCTTACAGAAGTTCTCCCCGCATTGTTCAAACTAAATCAGAGCCCCTACCCTCCTTTTTTCCCCATGGTTCAGGCTTCAGAGAAGGCCCCAGTCATCTCTATGTCCCACATCAAGCATCGGACTATAGTGATCTCTTTAAAGACTTCCATGGTATTTCTGTTGAATAAGCTCAATCATGTTTGCATCTCTGGTTACCTATTTCTGGAAGTTGCTCTTGCAACTGCCAGCTCTGCAACTGTTGGGACTCAGCAGCCATCCTATAGAATATTATCCCTGTATCAGTCTTTGATATGAAATCTGCTTTTCATATATTAACAGAACTACCCCAGCTTTGACTCCTGTTAGCATATCTTTTTCTATCCTTTTTATTTATTTGTATGCTTATATTTAAACTGGGTTCCTTTAGGCAGCATACAGTTAGGTCTTTTCTTTTTAAAATCTAATCTTGTTAATCTAATCTCTGCCTTTTATTTGCAGGAGTCACTTTCTAGTTTATTGATCTAAAAAGAAAAGAAAAAAAAATTCACCCATCTTTCTGCACCTAGGAATTTTTTTCTCTACCACAACATTTGAAAAATAGTCGTCATCCCTTACATACACCTTCCTGGGTATAGCAGAGATTTGGAAAGTGGCAGTGCTTGGCAAGAATGCCTGGGGTCTGGGATGGGGCACGTGAGAGACAGCAAGAACTGCCAGTAGACTTTCACATTAGTTCAGGTGGTGTAACAGAGAGCCTGAACTTCAAGGTCCTCTGGAAAAGTTCTTTCTGTTGAAAGTAGATACAGAAGTTGGTGACAAATTGTTTATAGTCACCAAGATTTCTCTTTTCTGGTCTCTGGGTAAGTATTAGTCACCCTCTTTACTGAAATTACGCAAAGCATAAGAAAGTTCGGAGTGTCTGAGCTGCTGCTGAGAACTTGGAGCATTTAGTTGGATCTTTCCTTTTATGGCTGAGGAAAAGGAAGTCAGAAAAGTGCCCTGGGTCATGCCTCTGGCTAGTGGTGGGCCTTGGAATAGAACCAAGTCCTTTCTGGATTTCCCGAAAACCTGGAGAACTTTTTTTTTTTTTTTAAAGATTTTATTTATTTATTTGAGAGAGAGAGAATGAGAGAGAGAGAGAGAGCACGAGAGGGAAGAGGGTCAGAGGGAGAAGCAGACTCCCCACTGAGCAGGGAGCCCGATGCGGGACTCGGTCCCGGGACTCCAGGATCATGACCTGAGCCGAAGGCAGTTGCTTAACCAACTGAGCCACCCAGGCGCCCAAACCTGGAGAACTTTATTGGTTGAACGCTAACTTCTGTATTCTGCTTAAAGAAAATAAGATCTATTTAATTTCTATTCTTCACCCCCGTTTTGATTTGTGGCCCCACTCAGAGTCTGAGAAAAACAATGACAAAACAAACAGGGAAAAGCCTGTAAGAACAGCATGAAATACACAGATAGCAAAACAGATAGCCTGACAGAGCACTGGGACACACAGATAAGAGAACATAGGGAGAGAAAAGGAAACTAGAAAACCAGATTTTCAGGGAGGTGCCTGGAGTGTAGGGTTATTAGCCCCATCTTGTGGCCTTTTCAGAGACTGCCTCAGGTTAACTTTTGAGTCAGTAACTGTTAACTCCAGATCTGATCTAGAACAGTGGGCCTCAAGATTTAGTGTGCCTGGGAATCCCTGGAGAGTCCGTGAAAATGCAAATACCTGGGCCTTTCTCTCAGAGAGGCAAGTAGATCAAAGTGGGCCCAGGAATCTGCTTTTAGAAAGCTCCCCAGGTAATGCAGGAGGACCATGAACCATGCATAAGAAACACTGCAGAAGGCAGTAATTGGTGGTGTTCATCCCCTTGGCATTGTGGAAAACAGGCTACTCTGAGGAAAAGTTTGGAAGACAACTGTCAAGAACTATAAAACGACTGAGATTTTGGGCTCTTTGCAAATTAACAAGTTAGCCTGTAACAGGTTCAAGAATGCTGGTAGGTGAGAGTCCTGGATCCCAGAGACAAAGAGCAGCTTATTACTAATGTTGGTAACAATAGTCCGAGAATTATCATTTGGGCCACTTTTCTGAGCCCTGATTCCCAGAATCCTCTGTGATGAGGGCCATGGCAGGCTGCCTTATAGAAGAGCAATTAGAAGCTCAGGGAAACAATTTCTCATAACGGAGATTAAGTCGGCCAGATCTTTGCCTGGAGGGAGACATTATTTGTTGTCCAAGGCTATTCACCACAGATACATTCTTGAAAAGATATGCCAAAAAAGGCAGTCAGTGCCTCTGCTCAAATACAGAAAAATGACACATGGAGAACTGTCTTCCAACAGAAGCCGGGAAAATGGACGTGTGTCAGGGGAATGGAATCCTACATCTGAAGGCTGTAAAGTGATCAAACTGAGGCAGGAATGGGGAGTTGGGAAGAGAGTCAGGCCTGCTATAGCAGGTAGGAATTCAGCCTGGATTCTACTTCCCATAGCTCACTTCAAAGCAATCCTTACTCTTTCTGTTTTAACGGGGGCCTGCCTGATGTAATGAGTACTTTCCATATTTATTTAATTTTAATCCTCACATCTCACGTAGACAAGGGATACGATCACCATTCTACTCATTAGAAAATAGAGTTTGAAAAATTGTGACCCTCCCAATTATGCAACCACGGGACAGACGGGTCTTTTTAGAGGTCTTCCCACTACCCGCTTCTCTCACCTGTTTCCTCTTTCCTCCAGGGCACAGGATTAAGACTGGCCAAACTAAGTGAACAACGAAAGCAAGGGTGGGGGGGGCAGATCTTTGCCCCTACTTCGGAACCAGGAAGTGGAGCGCTCGCTCTTTTCCAGCCTCACGGACCAGAAATTTCCAGGGAGTGGCTGAGCAAGAGGCTCCTGAACTTCCTTTCGCATTTCAAATCGGAAATAGGTTTCCCGGGACACGGAAGCCCACCAGCACAACTGGGGAGTTTCCTTCTCCCTAAACCGGACCAGACCGCAGAGGACCGGCGAGGACCAGTGAGGACCGGCGGGGACCGCAGAGGGCAAGGTCCTCCCCGCTCTTCCGGGGTTTCCTGCGCCAATCGGAACTGGGGCGGAGCCGCCAGAGCGCGCCCCTCGCGATTGGGCGGCGCTGCTGTCGCTCAGCGCTCCCGAACGGAAGGGGCCGGGCGCCGCTCACCGCGGGGTCCCGGAGCCTCCAGGCGGGTGGGAGGGGCGGGAGCGAAAGTTGCAGGTTTGGGATCCGGCGGCCGGGGCGATGGAGCTGGGTCCCGCCGCGTCCCCCGGGCCTTCCCGCTCTTTCAAGGAGGAGCTGCTCTGTGCCGTCTGCTACGACCCCTTCCGCGACGCCGTGACTCTGCGCTGCGGCCACAACTTCTGCCGCGGGTGCGTGACCCGCTGCTGGGAGGTGCAGGTGGCGCCCACCTGCCCAGTGTGCAAGGACCGCGCGGCCCTCGCAGACCTGCGCACCAACCACACCCTCAACAACCTGGTGGAGAAGCTGCTGCGTGAGGAAGCCGAGGGCGCGCGCTGGGCGGGCCACCGCTCCCCGCGCCTCTGCCGCCCGCACCGCGGCCAGTTCAGCCTCTTCTGCCTCGACGATAAGGAGCTGCTGTGCTGCTCGTGCCAGGCCGACCCCCGGCACCAGGGGCACCGCGTGCAGCCAGTGAAAGACACTGCCCACGACTTTCGGGTAAGAGCGGCAGCGTGCGGGAGGTGGCCGAGCGCGCACGTGGCGGCCGGGTCCGGACTGTAACTCAGCACCCCTGGCCCCTCGCGGCTCCCGCCACTGCAGCCTGCCAGAGCTGTGTGCCCAGGCCCCCGCCTGGTCCTGCGGCCAGGACCCCCAGCGCTCTGACTCGGCTAACCTACAGAGGGGTCGGCCCAGGGGGCCTGGGATGGGTGAAGAGGGATTGTAAACAGAAGTGTGGGAACTGAGGTTACACGATGCTCCCAAGACGGCCCCACCCACTTCTGAAGGGCTGAGGCCAGGGCACCCTCTTTGCCAGCAGGGTGTGGCACGGGCCCGTTTGAGAAGGACAGGTGTGGGTAACGCCCAAGAATCTTGGAGCTTGGCACACTCAAGTTTGGGTGTGGGAGTCCAAGACCTGGCCTTAAAGTCTCCCAAAAGGGGTCACATATTTCCCCGAGCTGGCCCTATGTGTTGGGTAGGAGTGGAGAGGCTTTTGGCATTGGCTGGCTGGTTTATTCTGGATCTCAGCACCCCAATGCCTAGAGTTCCTGTGGCTGTAAATAAAGTGAATGGAAAATACACGGAGAATACTTTGGTTATAAGAAGGAAAAGTGATCAGAAAATAAGGATTAGCCAACTTAGGAGTTCTCAGAATTTTTGACCTTAGCCCATAGTAAGCTCATGTTTTGACCTTAGTCCCTATTTTTTCCGTTGTGATCCGGAACACCCTTATGTATTGTATCACTTGAAACAAAAGTTCTGTGAAAATGTCTGTTGTACTCCGGCATTTTCTGTTATTTTTTTTTTATTTATGGTTTTATTTAAAATTTGCAGAGGGTGTGAAACACTAATTTATTTCCTCACCTACTAACACATGGGTCAGACCCACTGGTAGGAAGCTGAGTGTATTGAAAAGGAGGCACTGTGAGAACCCCTAATGCCTGGTCTCCAGACACTGTTTTTGTTTTGTTTGTTTTAAGACCTTTCTTAAGAAATACTGAAAGTTGGTTAGAATTTTATACACATTTAGGCAGAGTTCAGGTGAAGGGGAATGTCTTCAGTATGCATGTTTGAATACTGCAGTAGCTTACCAAGGGGATAACCCTATAACTCCTGTTGCCTTATTTGTTTAACAGTGGTCCACAACAATGCTTTTCCCCATTCCCACTGGCAGAAGTGCCAGGTCCTGATGTGGGACAGCTAAAGTAAGTGCATTCTGGGGGCTGGGGTCGAGGTAGGGGGGGGCACCATGGATCAGGTCATGACTCATCACCATGGGGCTGTCACAGGTACAGATCAGGAAGATGGGCAGGAGTCAAGGCCAGGAGCACTAAGGCAGAACCCCTAGGTCCGGGCTAATCCAGGATTCAAGATTAGTGAGTCAAGTGCCAGGAAGCACATAGGGTCTAGTGACAACTTCCTGTTCCTTCAGCAGATGCCTTGTACTGCTCGGTCCCAGGGGGACTGCAAGGCATGAGATAAACAGCAATTCATACCTTCAAGGAGCTTCAAGCAGAGACCCGAGGGATGAGGAGGTGTCAGCCAGGTGAAGAGAGCGAGGGAGGGTATTTCGGCCAGAGGCAGCAGCATACATAAGGGTCCAGAAGCTGGGAGGCCTGACTTTCTAGGCACTAAGAGAATTTCAGAAGAGTTAAAATAAGGTTGGGAATGCAGAAGAAGCCATGAGGCTTGAGGCTTGGTCTTTATCTTAAAGATGGTAGGGAGCAGTAGGAGGGTTTTACACAGAGGGATGATGCAGTCAGATTGATAAGCACCCAGGGCAATGTGGAGGTAGGGAGTCTAGTCCGGAAAGATCTGAGGAGAATGCAAGCCAAGTGTGCTCAGCCTGATGCAGGATGGAACTCATTCAGCGTGTTAGAAAGCTGTGTATCAAGGACTTGTGTTGTGTTCTGTTCTGGAACCCGTGAGGGGCGCTGAGGCCGCAAAGGTAAGACAGAGCCCTCACCCTGTGGCGCTCACAGCGTAGCAAGGGAAGTCAGACAGTAAATAAACAAGTTGTCGTGCTGGCTGACTGGGCGCGGAGCAGTGTGGGAGGGCCGGAGAGGTGAGAAGGGGCTGAAGGGGCAGCTGTCGTGTGCCGTGGGGAGCTCTGAAAGCTTTTAAATAGGGACTTTGTGGTGAGATGAGTGCTTAGAAAGATCACTTTGGCAACCATGTGAGGAATTCGACAAAAAGTGTAAATCATACCAGCCAACGCTTTTGGAGCACTTGCTGTGTGCCAGGGGATCTTGGCGTGTTTACACGTCAATAAATTTAATCCTCACAAAACCCCTGTGAGGTTGTGTATTAGTTTCCTATCGCTGTTGTAATAAATTGCCACAAACATGGCAATTTAACACAGCACACATGTATTTTCTCACAGTTCTGGAGGTCAGAAGTCCTAAAATAAAGGTGTTGGCAGGGCAACGTGCCTTTTGGAGACTAGGAGAGAATTTATTTCCTTGCCTTGTCCAGCTTTTAGAGGCCCCTTCCTCCATCTTTAAAGTACATCATTCCAACTTCTGCTTCTGTTATCACATTGCCTTCTCTGACTCTACTAACTTCCTCTTTCTTATAAGGACCCTTTGATTACATTGAGCGCATCGAGACAATGCAGGATAATCATCCATCTTAAAACCCATAATTTAATCACATCTATAAAGTCCTCTTTGTCATATAAATAATACATTTACAGCTTCTAAGTTCTAAGATATGGACATCTTTATTCAGCTTGCCACAGGTAGGTACTATTTTCCCCATTTTACAGACAGCGACACTGGGTCTCAGGTTAAGTAACTTGTCCACAGTCACAGAGCAGGTCCTATATAGAGTTCATCTGGAACCTTGTTGGGCCCCTACTCTGGTCATGGACTTTGAGAGAAACTTCTTTGGTCCCCAGGTAATACTTTCCCCGCTGGCCCTCTGTCCTGGGATTTGTGAGGACAGCGGGTTATGTGTGGGTATTTAAGAGGTTTGAGTGTATTGGATGAGGCCCACTCTCCTACCATGTGGGTCCCTACTATGTGCTAGGCACAGTATGTTCAGTAGAGGACAGAGGAGTCCTGGCCCCTTGGCTTCTTGGAGCCAGATAGGCAAAATTTAATAATAATCGACTGACATTCCTGTGAGGGACAGTATAGGAAGTGACAGATGGCTGTAACAAGGAGCCTGCTCTTGTCCGGTGGGAGTGATTTCACAGAGACCTGAAGGCCTAGAAGGAGTTCGCTAAGTGAGGGGCAGCAAGCAGCAGTGGTGGGGCAGACAGAGGGCAGGGAAGGCAGGAATCCAGAGACATCTGGACAGGGAAGGCAGGCGTCTGGAACAGATCCCAAGGGGCATCCAGGGCATGTTAGAGATCTGAGATTTTGTCCTAAGGACAGTGGGGCAAGAAGGGAAAGAACTGCTGAGCTATCCAGACATGCCATAAGGGTTGAGACCAGAGTGCTGAAGTGCATGTTGGAGCTTGAAGGGACAGCCTCTAGCACTTGTTTCTCAAACTTGAACAACGCACCCATTCTTCTTAAAGGAAAAGCTGTTCCAGCACTGTGACTTAAAATATATTCCGTACATACAAACGCTAAGCTAGCGTAAATTTCTCTTGCTTATTGCACATATGGGCAGTAAAACAACAACAGTTTACAGGTTAAGCACAAAAGAAAATCAGTTCAATTCTAGTTGAAATATTCATCACCAGGCTTTATTTGGCTGAAACGAAAGCACTGCTCTGGGCGGCTGTGAGGCTTGTCTGACAATGCTTGGGATACTCCTTTACCTTCTTCTATGTGGTTCCTTGATTTGCCAGTCTAAATTTTCCTCTTTGCAGATCCGAAACTTTTCCTGGGATACAATTGGCCTTCATTTAGATCTAGCACATTCTTCACTCCTTCACAAATTAAGTGTACTTCCGTTCTATCGTTATTAGGCCAAGACAGTGAAAGTAGTATAGTTTGGTGTCAAAGTAGTTGTTAACAAATACAAATGCTGGTACTGAAGTTGTAGGAACTGAAAGCGTGTGTCCACACTGTTTATAAGGCAACTTGGAAAAGGTTTACCTTAGGTTTGTTTGTTTGTTTTTTTAGGTTATTGAATGAAAACACTAATTGAAAACTCTTGTAGAAAACTTGCAGGTCCCCATACACAGGCCCAGAGCCATGGGGTACTGTGAGGAGATGGTTCTATTTTACTGGTGAGAAAACAGAAACTTGGAGGAATGTAGCAACTCCTGGCATTGGCAGGGAATGGCAAGGGTACGTCTAGGATTAGAACTCAGATTTCCTGACTCCCTGTCTGGCGTTTGCTCTGCCTTGCATCATCAGGGCAAGCCTGCCCGAACTCCTGCCAAGTCCCAGGCCTCGAACTGCCTTGTCCAGACCCCTTTCTTACCCATCCCATGGGACTCACGTGAGAGTCATTCTCTGCCCTCCAGCCTCCTCCTGCACCAGCCCCAATCCATTCCCCTTCTGGGGTTCTTAGAATCAGTCTGGCCAAATCTTACCTAGGAATGTTCCATGTTTTCCTTAAGTCTCCCCTTTCCCCCCTTTTCCTAACTGTGCACTCCCAGTTGGATCCCCCCTTATGGACCAGGTACTACCAGGTCCAAGTTAAATGGACATTTTACTGCCTGCTTGGTAAGGCATGTGCCCAGGGGTGGGGGCTTACTGAACACTGCTCACTGAGGCTCCTGAGTTACCGGACCCCCACACTAGGCACTGTGGTGGACACCTGCTTCATGAGGAGGACTGAAGCACCCCGGGGAAAGGAAGAATGTGGTTGGATAAGAAAGGGATAATGGATGAGATGAAGTTGTCTTGGATGCATTTATGCTATCCTTTTAAGAAACCTGGAGAATGGCCAGTAGGAGAGTTAAATTACCCACCACTACGTGGCACCTAATAGTAGTGAGAGCCAACACAGGCCTGGTGTGCTCTTGGAAGCACCTTACATAGATTGGCTAGTGGGAACCTCTTAGCAATCCTGCGAGCTAGGCAGTCTCATCCCTC